GAAAACATAAAAAAAAGTTCTAACTGAAATGAAAACAAATCATATACACAATGTTTGCCACCACACAACATTTAAAAAAAAAAAAAAGAAATATTTTTGGCTTTGCCCAGAGTCAATGTCTCTGTCATTGGTGTGGAACCCCAGGGTTCACCTCCTGGACAAGTTTGAATCCCGGTTAGGGCGGTTGGTACCTTCCAGTGGACTCACCACCCACAGGAAGATTCAGGGGGGGTTGGTACGGTACAATGTGATTTGGGTGAAGACTGCTGCCCCCGTGACCCGGTAACGGATAAGCGGATGGAAATGGATGGATGGATGGATGGAAATATTTTCTAAGGCGAAAACAAAAGCTGCCAAATTAATCAACGACCACTAATTCTAGAGACATTTTCTCATTGAAAATCCTTAGTGAAACCACAGAGGAAATAAAATATAAATGATTTTTTTTATTTTTCTTTCTTTTCTTTTTTTACTATTATTACTAACACAGTACTTACAGCAGGTCTATGTAGTATTAGGATGATGGCAATTTAAAAGTTATAAAGGCTCAACTCCAAATTAGAACATGGAAATGTGCTTGAAACAAAAGTGAAGGTATTTTGTATCATATCACAATGTACCTCAATTAAAAAAAACAAAAAAAAAACAGTGTGAAATAAAGAATTACAAAAGTAAATACATTGTTTAAAAGACTCATTTTTTCATAAATAACATTTTGAACATTTTCAAATTCAGTGACGGGCCACACAGTAGAAGTCTGGCTAGTGCTCTTGCTCTACAGCAGAAAGGTTACAGGTTTAAATCCTGGTGGTGTTTGTGGGTTTTCTCTAGGTACTCCTGTTTCCTTACACACAATTTCCACTCTCAAATTTCCACCCTAAGTTGGAAAGGAGTGTGAAATATTTATTTTAATCTGTGTACCTGCCTGTGGGCCAGTGGTAAAAGGATCTGGTCTGTTGGAAGAGGGTCACAGATTAAAATCTCACTTTAACTATGGCGAGCTGAGCACACTGCCCTCAGGAGCAGGTTTTATGATTAGGTATTAGAACAGGTTAGGCCAGGTCTCCAATCTGAAAAGAAATGAGTGGTAGAACATGAACAATTTTCACTTAAACTACACACCTTGATTCCAGAAAGTCCATACAATCTCTAAAAATGATCATTATGAGATTAGAATTAGGAAATATACCAGGACCAACAGAAAAATTAAGAAAAGACTTTTAGGACTGTTGATGAATTATTATATAAAACACACACCAAAATGAGCTTTTGTCTGACTTCCTTCCAACTTGTGGATTGTGTGATTGTCTGACAATTGCCTGCTCAAGTCTATGGTCTAGTCTATGGTTATGTTAGTTTCCCAGCTCCAATATTCTGCTCCTGTCACTGTCACAGGGCTCAAATAACATTTTTTGGTAAAGGTGCACTGGTGCAAAAAACATTACTTGCACCAAAAAAAAACTTTTGTTGTGGTAAACTTGCTATGATTTTGTGGGGCCGAATAAATTCACAAAAACAAATGTAAAAATACTGCATGTAAAAATGTTAATGACAAAAAATGTTAATGACAAAAAACAGCTGCAGCCATGGGCCAAACATGACAGTGTATCGCTATCGCTTTACTACAATACCCAACGCGGCATGCCCCACTGGATCACGTGCACGCTGTAATTTCTCAGACAGCGGTGGATTCTGGAACTCTGGAATTCCCAATGGTCTCCGACTTTTGGCGACCTCCATGCAAGTTACCAGCTTTTACCATATTTGGGGTACCAAAACATTATTTGTGTCACATGATCATCAGCAAATTATCGGGGAAGAGAGCAGGATCTTGGTTTGTCATATGCTGCCAAGGACCATGTTATTTTGATGTTTTTTGAAAGGAAAGTCTCTCACACAGAGTCAGGGATTTCTTCTTCTTCTAAAGGTGATTTATTATGCTCTGGGTTGTATTTCTCCCCATCTTCTTCTGAAACAGGGAAGTCTTGGTGGACATCTGAAAAACTCAGCTCTAGAGCTCGGTCAACGTAATAATCTGCACTCATGGCTTCAGGACAGAGAGAATTCGGGGTACTGTCATCTGCAGCACCTTTATAGTATCTGGGAGTCCACACAGACAAAAGGGCAATATTGTTACATTTGGGTCAGATCGGCTCACAGGCAGTGCAGTCTGCGAGAAGACCACCTGTCTTGTCTGGTTTATGTCTGCTACTGATTGATCTAAGACAGAACTAAAACATTCTCACATTCTGTAGTGTGTCACTAACTGTGTGACTGTGATTTCAACTCAATTTGACTGTCGGGTCATTTTGACCCGAAGACAATGTTTGTACCTTTTTTTGTACAGCTTACATGGAAATATGAATAAAGGCAACAATTCACTTTTTCTAATGTTGTGGTCAATCTAGGAAAAGTCATCAAATTTCAAGTTTCAAAAATATTGTTTATTGGGGATTTTTGTTTGGTTTTTAACAGTGGCGGATCATTTTGATCCGAGGACAACAGGAGGGTTAAGATAACACACTGAAAACTATTTTTTTTCCATTTTTTTTTTTTTCCAATTTATTTTCAGCTCCTTATTGGATAAGTCTACCGGTGGTACCAGTAGAAAAAGCTGCTTGCGCTTGTGCAAATTGGGTACCAAATTCCGTGCACTGGTCCAATGTAACATGCACAAACTGGTGCAGGTGTGTGGTAATTCGAGCCCTGCCGGCACAATAGGAGTGAATGCAGCACCCAGGGAATACAGGTAAACAGACAATTGCAATTAGAAGTCCAACACGGGTGCAGGAAGAACCAGAACAAAAACTAAGGTTTAGTAAAACTGGACAGAAGACATTGGCCAGGAAGGAACAGAGACCAATGAAACACAAGTAACACATAGACCAGGCTGAGGTCTGAGAAGATGATATGTAATTTCCCAGCCTGGGATCAATAAAGTATATCCATCTATATATATACAGTACATAGATGGATAGATATACAATGTATACCTATGTTCTACCACTGGACCACCTCAATGTTTTTGACTGTTTATAAAAACAATAAAATAAAATCAACTGTCGGTTAAGACTATTGTTTTCATGACATTTTGGAAAAAAGATTTGTGTTTTTAAATCCTACTAAGCCGTAGACAGAGTTTTCAGCCGCCTCTGTCCGTCAAGACACCAATCAGAGGCCATGTATCTGGCAGAAATCCACGTCGCCAAAAGGTCTTCAGGCTAGACTATCCATACATTTGTTTCTTCTTAAGCCCTTTCAGATTTGTGCCAAGTTACCAGCCCACCACTTATGCACTTAAAGGGCCAGTAACAACAGTCTGGCTGAGGCTTGTGGGAACTGGGTCAGATTTAGGGTGATACAGCAGTGAGATGCCAAAACCAATGTAGATGTCTGCTACACTGACATTTTCAGAATGTTAAAATGTAGCAAACACAAAGATCTGATCAACTCACTTATGAGCACAAAAATGTAAGTCTTAAAAAGTGATGATTAAAAAAATATTTTCTTTTCTTTGTCTTCAGGTCGGATTACATAAGCAGACACTTGGCTGAACAGCCATGGCTATCGTGGTGAAAATTAAATCATTCTTGGCTCATTCGTTCTCCTCTCCCAGTGTGCTTTGAACCAAACAAATACCCAAGTGGTTCTCAGCAAGTATATCAATGCAACATCGCCAACAATGTCATGTTGTATCTCACATGTAACAGGATTATCCGACATGTGACAGGAAAATAGCAGGACCCTGAGTGACTGATTGGCACCTTGGATTGGACAAGACAGACTCTGAATGTCAAGTCTTGAAAATCAATTGGCTGCAGAGTGAATTTCCTTTATTACATAAAGGAGCACCATGAGACAGCTGCAGTTCCTGAGGCTAGATTGTGAATTTTACTCTCTTTGGAAATTTAAGGAAAAAGTTTTAATCATAGGTCATAGTTTCTCTGATGACACCACTTTCATGTATTCTTCTTCTATTGCCTAATCCTTTTCAGGATTGGGGGGCACCTTGAGTCAATGCCAGCAGCTGTGGTACACCCAGGTCATCAGTTCATCACAAGGCCACATACTGTCCCATTCACACTCGCCTTCAAAGCTACAGTATTTGGAAATAGCCCCACCTAACACAAGGAAGACACTCAAAATACAAGACACACCATTAACTACCACTGGGCCTGAAATGGTGGGCTTTATGCATGTGAGCTAACTGTTGCATTACTGCAACTGTATAGTAACTGAGCCATTGCAGGCATTGGTGATGGTGATTGACAAAAATAAGCATGACGGCCAGGCCTTGGGCAGTGTCGTTTAAATTTACGGGTAGCTGGGCCAGTAAATTCCCGTCCTAATGCAACCCAACATTTTGTATTTTTATTTAAATTTATATTTTGTCTTTTTTTTTTTTTTTTACAAACACCAAAAGGCAAAAACAGCCTTGCCGTTCAAATAGTCAACATACCTAGTTGACAGCTCATAAGCCTTTTCAGTGTCAGGTTTCCCTAATCCATACACACACATGCTTTAATTCAGGCTGCTGCTTCCTGTCTGCCTCCCTCAGCTCACCTCGAGTGATGTGGAGCATGACTGATGAGTTTTTCAGAAAGTATCTACAAAAATCATAAAGAAGGCGGAGCTGTTGGTGTTTAGGAGCGTGTGTGATTCCAATTGTTATTTAACCTCAGTGTTTTCAGAGGTCGTGTAAATGCTAGAGGGACAAAAACGAATAAAGTTTTATTAAGCTAAAGCCCTTCTTTTGAAAGTCTTATCTGATCGCGCCCCCTGCTGGACAACCACATACACTGCTATGAAGCTCGTGTTTTTATTCTTTTCCTGTATAAAACCCAATACAACTTTGAAACGTGCAGGATGTAAACTCAAATCATAAATTAATTGGTAATAGCCACTCTATTTAGCACAAGTCTTTCAAAAATGTACAAATTGAAGATCCTCAATATATATCTCTATATTTTTTTTTTATTATTTCTTTGGTGATTCAAAAGCAGGGAACATGTTTGTTTTTCTTTTTTTAAAAAAATCAACAAACATCCAAGACATTCACATTGTAAAATAATACAAAAAATGCTATAAATATGATATTATGTGCACATGAAGGCTGAAACACACACATTCACAGGTGGACTAAAAACATATCTCCATTTACAAATGGCTGTAGATTCACACTCACAGCCATTCACATGTAAGTATTTGGTTAACAGAACAGAACATTATTATTGCAGCCGTTGGGGCCCTCTATGATCTTTGGTCCACTGTTTATGGCATTCCAGATGTGAAAAAGTGGCAAAGTTAATTGTGTTATTAGGAAATATTTCATCTTCAATGTAGCTCATTGAGACAGTCTGTGGTTGTGGCTTGTTTTCCTGTTGAATACATATGAACAGCACTGCTGGGCTGAATGACAGCATCTTATTTCACTTGTAGGTACTGAACCAAGTAAAACTGTCACAAGCAGCTTGAAAACAAATAACGTATCTCTGTCTAAAAAAACGTTACGTTCAAGTCTCTACGAGTGTTTCACAAAAAAATACATTCTCTTGGTTGGCTGATTCTTTTTAACTATTAAAAACATTAAAACACTTAGCTGAAGCACAGCAGCAATAGATGACAGACTTTGTGAAATGATGCACATACACAGGCAAAACATATAACTGACTTGACACTTTCCATTCTTTCAACTTGAAACAAGGATGAAGATTGTCTTCCTTTGCAGGAAAAAGCAGGGAAATTAAATTGAAATGTCATTTGTTAAAATTCCTGTACATAAAGACTTTCTCTGCTAACATACAGTAAAAGGCTCTTAAGGAAAGATACTTTCTTGGTGCTTTGAAAGTTGCTGCTTCAAAAAAAGGTGCTCCAGCAGTTCACTGAACAAATCCTGCTCAGACGTTCGTCTATTGTTAATGTGGAATGCAAATAAATACCACTAGAAAAAAAAGACATCAACATATAGTTTTTCACTCATGTAATGTATGTAAATTTGTACCAAAAATGTGCCTTAGTTCCATGACGACAATCATCTCTTTTGACAATGCATACATTTCTTGAAGGCATACGGCAGATTAAAAACAGCAACAACAACATGACCCATTCCTTTACGTTTTTATAAGAGCTATAATTTCATAAGAGTGCTCAAAGATTAAGGAACACTTGGGATTATTTTCAAAAGCACAATTGGTTCACAAAGGCCTGAAGCATCAGTCGTGAATGTATGGCTTCATAAACTCAGGAAAAATAAAAAATGTCCACAGTTTTTTCTAAGCAAAACTGATGAGAATATTGTCTGTTTCCAGTAGCCAGCTGAAAGTGTTTAATATACACTGACACTGCTGTGACACAGAGCCAGTTATTAAAACAAAGTGACGTGTCAACATCTCTTGAAAAGGCACTTCATAAGATGATTCCCTCGTTGTCCCACATACTGGGAGCCTACAGGTTATCCTGTACATAGGTTTCTTCTCTTTTTACTTTTCATTTAAATTTTTTTCTTCCTATTTTCAGACCATTGTTAGCAGTGCGGGTTTTAAGAAGAAGCCTCAATTACAGCTTCCTCTGCTTGTGTCCAGTCCTTTCCCTCCTCCCTCTGTAGCGCTGAGGACGATAGTTGATGGCGTCCTCCGGCCTTTTGAAGTTGTTAACACTGTAGAGGCTTCTGTGCTCATGTCGTCTGACAAAGGGTCTCTGATAGCTCGATGCTACAAGTTAACAAAAAAACCCACAAACGTTAGCTCCAAAATATGTAAATTAGTAAATGTAGCCTGAAAAAGGTAACTATTGTAAATAGAACTTACGGGTTATGCATGTAATTTTAGGAACATCCCATCGTCCATCACCACGGCAACGGATAGTTGGTACATGCCTCTGAATGTAGCCTGTCTGACACTGGTACCGCACCAGTGAGTTGATCTCGTACCTCTCACGTTTTTTTCCAAAGGTGCGTGCGTTGGCCACCAGAGGGGGCTGGTTGCAAGCCACTACAAAACACGGAGCAGAACATTTAAATGATGCGTTAAATGTAACTTAAATGGGTATATGTTTAACAATGAGACATTTGCTGGGTGTTCTTACCTGTGCCCTTCTTGCAGGTGAATGTAAGGTGGTAGTTACAGGGAATGTCATTCCACTGACCGTCCTCATGCCAGATCATCACCACACAGTCCTCGCCAGAAGAGAAGAAGCTGTCTGGCTGGTTTGGTCTCCAGTTTTCATATTGCTAAAATCAGAAAAGTAACCAAGATGCATACATTTAAATTTGAGTGTGTTTCCTTCATTTATTAACCTGTTGAAATTTGTTGTATTTTCTACAGATTCTATATTTTACACATCTAATGAATAAGTGAAGATACTTGAACTCTTCTTTTTGTCCTCCTGCCTGTCGAATAAAGATTTTGGTGCATATTTATAGAGTTATTAGTAGCATTTTAAACAACTGGGTTTGTATTATTTTTATCTAATATATAGATTAACACAATTCTTCACATGTAAAACCATTAACAAGAAATTTGGTGCTGTCCTGTGTAAGCAGCAGTTTTCTGTCACTGTATTATTATAAATGGCCACAAGAGGGAGCAGCAAACCCAAATTCAGCAGTAAAGCTTTTAAAAAACACTTAAGTATATGGCCTAATCCTTCTCTGGGTGAGAAGGACATCCCAGAAGTCTTTGCCTGATGTTGGGTAAACGCTGGACTGTTCACCAGGGCCACACACAGAGACAGACAACCATTCACACTCACAGTCTAACAGAATGTGCCGTTGACATAATAATTCCCAATCTGTAGTTTTACGGCCTGTGGAGAGAAAACTGGAATACACTGCACCTATGCTTACATTGCCCCTTAATGAAATACCTGATGTCACCTTTGAAACATGACTGTGATTCACGTGTGTTTGGGTACTGGTGGTTTTATGTTGACAGACAAACACAAGTGTTATGTCATTTAACCTCACACTGTGCATACCATTCATTACAGACTGTATGTAACACTGCACACATGAAGAATTCCTGTAGCACACAGATGTACATTCGTACAGGTAAACGGTATATACACAGCTGTAGCACTTTAATAGATGATCCTTGTGGTCTTTCAGCACATCCTGGGTTCAAACAGTTTCTTCAAAGCTGTGACCCCCACAATCACTCACTCCTCCAATCATTCCCAGAGGCTCTGCGCCCCCCTCAATACAGTTACCACCCACACACACTCACACAAACATACACACACAGACAGACACTGGCTTCCTGCTGGGCTGACTTCACACTAACAAAAACTTGAGCCATCAACTACAGAGCAGGTCAACATCCTTGTCAGAATAATCAAACAAGCTTCCATCACCTTCAAACAAACATACATCGAATATCCAATATCAAAAAAGATGATACAAAATACTATTTTAGTTCAACAGTGTTACCATTTAACCCCCTGGAGTGACGATCCCCCACAGAGGGATCCCCCACCTTGCCCTGCTTCTGTCCAGTTTGTTTCTCTTTGTGACCCTGGGCACAGAGGCTGTCCATCTGTGTCTTCCTGTATGATGGATTTTACCCCTGGGTGGCTGCCTCCTGGCTCTATTACCTAATGTGTGCGGGGGTCAAAGTAGGTCCATACCTGTCTACGCCTGCCAACCTCCCCTCCACACAAGTATTGCTCACACCTTCATCACCACTTCATCTCTCAGCTGAGTTAGTATCTCCATAGGCGGTCACCCTGCTTATCTTTGAACCCCCGAGCTCTTTCCATCCTTCTGCTATCTCTGGCCCTGCTGGATTAACTTTGAAGTGAGGACATCACTCTGTACAATACGTAGGGACCTAATAATTAGCCACTTTCCTGCCTTGAGAATTAGCCTTGGGCAACAGTAACCACAACTACTCTTATAACACACTCTTGTGCTGTTTTATAAACATGTCGGTGCATTTTTCCTTCCAGAAAATCTCTTTTGTGCTACACTTGACATCTTTGCTTTCACTCCAAGACACAAGAGCAGCAGAGAACTAATTCAAGTTGGCTGACAGCATGCTCTGTGTGATACTTTTCAACGGCAGTCTCCCACAAGTGTGTGTGAGTGTGACATACAGAGGAGGAGTATGTCATGAGAAAGTCACCACAGCCCTTTAAAAGACCAACTCCCCAGATGACTGTGTCTGTCACTGGCATCACTTCCAAATATTTGCGACAGCTCCTGTCCCATGTTTGTCAAGACAAAAATACCAAGAAAGAGTGCTATCTTACCACAGGGCTGCCATCAGTCCAGCGGAAGTCATTGTCAAACATCTTATCATTTAGACCAATCCACTGGTAGTCCTGTCCAAGGCCTGTCACACGGGGCAAGAGAGGGTGAGACAGAGCAGATGACATTTCTCTTTAGAGCAGTTCAGTTACAGGACGTATAGGCAAAAATATACCTTTTAAAATTTAAAAAAGCTTCACAAGCTTCAACTTACGGTTGACAAATTGTTGCTCCTCATGGGAAAGGATGCTGGTGAGATGAGCGCCTTGCATACGACACTCCCTTTCTGCTGTATCCCAGTTTTTCCTCTGGGGCATGTACTTATAGCAGTGGCCCTGGAACTTGTGCCAGCCATAATCGCATGTTTCTGTATCTGAAGGTGAAAAAAAAAGATAGATGGGCTTGAAATCAGCCTTTTATATCATGTAGCTGTTTTTTACTTCAATCCCTAAATTATATTGACATCATCAACTAAAAATACTGTAATTTAAGACAATTGGTTCAATTTGTGTAAAAAAAACCCCAAAAGTAAAAATCTTAATAATAAATAATAGCTTCATTACTTAAATGTGATATTAATGTGCCTAAATGGACAATTATTCTTACTTTAAACACAACAATACATTAACAATCCACAGAAATTGCTAATCTCAGTTCAGTACTGTGTGAGATTACTAATAGATAACACCCAGGCAGTCTTTTTTTCTGGGTGCTACCCTTCAAGTTACATTTCCTCAATTTATTTTGGCAAAGCACAGCAAGACAGCAGCTGCGCTGAAATACACAGATTGGGTGTGATGCACCAATGAGGAATCTTGACAAAATTGAGGGTGTAGAGCCAGAACTCCGCCTAAGTTCAACACACTTGGGATGAGAAAAGGTTAACACTGTGAATTCTAGTATGCCATGTAAAAAAGTCATAAAGAAAAAAAAAGAGCACCACACCTAAAATACAGTGTACTCGATTTGACCTTTGAACTGTAACAACTATTTATATATTGATGTAGGCTCATTTTGGTACATTCCCTTTAGGTTCTGCTTCATTAAAATGCAAATGTCCATAACAACCATTTAAATTAGATAGACGAAAGTGATTTAATTTTTTTCAATCAGCATCTGGTTAAGATGAACACACGTCTACATAACATACAGCTCTTTTAATATAGAAAATTAGATAAATCCATAGAAATTACGGATGTATTGTCTTGTTTTTTACTTATGTCTTCAATATAACTACTAGCTGTCGATTTTTATTGTAGGTAGCATGGGTAGTTGATCTTGGATTGTGACTGTTGAGGTAGCTCTATCTTTGGCATTGGCCACTTGGCAAAATATTGTGTAAACCATCAGGTAATGTTAAGGATAAAGGTAAGCATTAATTCTTACCAGCACTTAAAAGAAGTTTACTATTCAGCAAACAATGAAATGGGTTTAAAATCTAGATGAAATCATTTGAAACCTACCTTCTTCACAAAACAGTCCCGAGTAGCTGGAGAGGCACACACATGTGAAGGAAGCTATGCCATCAACACATGTACCGCCATTCCGGCAAGGGTTAGACTGGCATTCATCCATATCTGGGTTTGAAAGACAGACAATGTTTGACACCTTAAGTTGGTAAATTCTCAAGTGTTAAATAACAGACAGATATTGTGAAAGGAAAGTTCTGGGGCACAATTTCCTACCTGTCTCACACTGATAACCTGTGTAACCAGGAGCACAACTACACGTAGGGAGACCACTGACTTTGTGGCAGGTTCCCCCATTCAGACAAACGTCAACGGTACAGGAGTGAAGGCCTGTGAAAAGTTATATAAATATATAATTTTACTGACTGACATACATTTCTCTTTGACCTACAATACCTCCTCTATCTAGAGGAAGTAGAAAAAAGAAAACTTACCTGGAATTTCAACTGGTTCGCCAACAACAGTGTGTCCCAAATCCAGTTCTGCATCTGGTGTGACAGTTGTAACTTCCTCTTTCACCGGTGGCTGGACTTCAGTAAGTGATGAAGGTGTAGAGGCATCCTTTGAGGAAGATGATGAAGAAGTGGCCCCTAATGTTGACTCACTTTGTGTCTGAGCTACCAACGTAGTAAACTCTTTGTGGATCTCTGTTGGCATTTCAGTGCGAAGAGAGACATCTGTATTTTCTTCTTCATTGTCTTGATTACCTGAGGTGTTCTCAGTAGGGACATATTTCACAAATGAAGGTGTCGTAGCATCTGCCTTAAACACAGACTGTATTCCATCAATTGACAAAGACTGTTCTTTTTCTCTAATGTCAATGTTTGGTTTATGTGTGGTGAACATCTCACTAGAGGAGCTATCAGACTCAGAGCTGCTCTCAGGTCCAGAGCCTGATGTTGAAATGACATTGGCTGATGCAAATGGTAGTATGGTAACAGCTTCTGCAGCAACTGGTGGCTTTGTTGCATTTTCTTTTGAGCTGCTATCTGTGTCACCAGATAAATTCTGCTGGATTTGTGAAACAGATTCAAGCAAATTGAGGTTTGGTGCGTCATAATCTGGGGATGGATTATCTTCAATAATATAATCAAGAGGGTACTTTTTAGTAGGAGTTGGCTCAACAGATCCATCATCTGCTGCAGATGTTCCTGGTTCAGCCACAAGAGATGCAACAGCGTGAGTTGTTGATTTGGTGCTATGACTACGTTCATGACTTTCAAAACTAGGATTAGTTGTAGTAAGTGAGGCATCCTCGGACAAAAAGTCTGTGTTGGGATGGTGTGTTAGTGTGATTTCTGACTTTACTTGCTCAAAGGATTCCAGAGGAGTTGTCAGGCGATGAACAGGAGAACCTGTTGTGACAAACTGGACTATAACATCAGGCTGTGATGCTGACTGTGCTGATGTTGAAGGAACACTTGAAGTGGGATTAATGGAAATTAATGGATCTTCTGATGATTCACTCCCAGCGTTTTCTTTATCCAACATGCCTATCTGTAGGGATGGTGTAGTTTTTGGACTGCCACCCGTCTGAATTATAGGTGATGTTGATGATGTGTTTTGTGATGCCTGTTCTGTGCCTTCTTTACCAGTTGAAACTCTTATAGAAGCTACCAAAGGAACCTCAGTGCTAAAAAAAGATGAGTCAGTCTTTGATGGTTTTTTCTGTGTTGGCTTTGTAGTTAAATGTGTTCTTTCTTTCGGAGATTGTTCAGTTGAACTCTCAGAAGATATGTCAGTTTTGGATTCTTGCGTTGTGGTTTTCGTTCCAGAAGACTCTTTCTGCTCAGAGGCTGTCTGGTCACTAGGAGAGGTTCCAGCATGAGTTGATGTTTCCTGGGCTTTACTATCTGTGCTGTTGGTATAAGGTGAGGCGTCTTTATTTAAAGGAGCTTGAGTGGACTTATCTTCCAGCAATTTGGTTGATACATCAGTTTGGGGTATATCCGTATCGGGTACTTTAGATTGTGTTGTGGTGTGTGACTGGCCATTGCTGGTATCACTGGTTAGTTTCTTTGCTACTGCTTCACTGGACATTAGTGTATATGGGGTGTCAGTGACTGGAGGGGCCGTGGCTTTTGTGGACGAGGAACTTAAGGTGTCTTTGGTCATATCCAGTGTAGCTACCATAGCATTCAGAGATAATGTGACTGTGTCTTCACTGGATGTCTCCATTGTAGAAACGTGTTCTACAACCGATGATTTTGAGGTAGGCTGTGAATATTCAAAAGATGTAAAATCTAAATTTTCACCAGTTGCCGAGGATATTTTAGGTGAAGAGGTAAAGTAGGTGGGAGAAATACTTCCTGAACCATCTCCCTTTCCTGTTCCCTCAATTATTTGAGTCATTGTTATTCCTCCAGATTCTTCTGTCTGGATAGTTGGGCGAATTGAATATGCTTGAATAGAAAGCGTATTTCCATGAATGATGGAGTCATCTTTGGCTATGAGCTCAGCATTTGTCACCTCTTCAGTCATACTGTCGGTAACAGCAGAGAAGAGCTTATCTTCATCCTTCACATCGTCTGTAAATATGATGGCTGTGCTGGTTGATATTGACCTAGAAGCTAATGACTCGGAGGTATCAACAACAACAGAAGTGCTTTCTGCATCATGTGAGGAAACCCCTTCCGTAGATGTTGGTTTGACTGAAAGATGAGTTTCCGGTTCCCCTGTTGGTTTTCCAAATAAGATGCTTTCAGTCAACGGTGTGTATTTAGTGTGGCCCTCAGTTAATGGAATATGTGTAACTTTTTCAGACTTAGTAGGTGTGATAGTTGTCTGCTCTGTGTCAAAATTAGAAGTCATTGATATTATAATTCTCTCTGTGCTAAATATAGAAGAGACTGTGCTTATTGTACTGTCAGGTATCCCTGTGCTGTGCACAGCTGAAGATGTTCCTGTAGATAACTCAGAGTTCACGTCCAAATCCAAACTGCTCTGAATTGTAGAAGTTTCAAAAAATGTTTCTGTTGGTTCGGCTGATGTTTTATCAGAAGATACTGCAGTAAGTGATGTGTGGCTATCTAAATTGTTAGAGGACATGCTCAGAGAATCTAGAGCGACAGCCGTCTCAGTGATTATCATGTATGGAGATTGGATTGCAGAACTTATGACACCAGAGGTGCTTTTAGGATGATCTGCCCCATCTGCAACTGCAGTGAATGTGTTTAACGATGGGGTGACAAATTTAGTAAGCAACTCTTGACCAGAACCATCTGCACTTATCTCTAAATCATCTTCTAAACCAGAGGCTTCCATATCAATGTATGTGGACATCTGATTTGAAGTGACACTGGGGATGGCCATTGGCAGAGAAGTTTCAAATAAATATGGAATTCCTGCAGCTGTAGTTCGATCTGTCTCCCTTTCCCCCTCCGTTGCATTCAATGTTGTTATGAATAACATATTATCAGTGCTTGTAACAGAGGGAGCAGTTGATGCCATTTCATCTGTTGCAGCATTTTGTTTAATTTCTGTGTGCACTGGAGACAATGACAATGTCCTTAATATGGAAGAAACGGGGGTAGTGGCAAGATCATGCGATACCTCTGCATAATTCGGTAAGTCTGTAAAGGAAACAGTGCTGGTAGGATCACTAGTAATCCAATCACTAGCTGAGGATTCAACAAAAGAAAATTCAACGCTCGAGTTGATTTCATGATCAGAATGTACTGAGGGTATATTATTGGCTGTACTATACAATGGAGATTCTGAAATCATGGCAGGTTCTACAGAAGCACCTGCTCCATGTGTAATTAATGGGTTGCTTGTAGTGAAATAAGAAGACATAGCTTTTTCTGTTTTACTTTCTGCTTTATTATATTCAGAAGTTGGAATAAACTCTGTCTCATCACTAAAGGGACCTAAGAAACTTGTAGTTTCAGAGTTTAGAGTAGAAATATCTGTACTCTGTGAGCTGGAAATGACTACAGCCGCCTGGCTAGTGAATTTGGCTGTTTCACTGGTTGCTGTTAAGAAAGAAAATGGTGAAGATTGCTCTGACAAAACAATAGTTTGCCTTGTTGAAAGAACGTCTCCCGTGACAGTTATGGATGAGCTGGTTTCATTTTCATCAATTATTTGGACAGTTGAAGTTATAAGGTCTTTGTCTGAAACTGACTTATCTGATAATGGGGAAGAAGATGTTTTCCCTGATTCTACAGATGTTAAAAACTGACTAGAAAGAGTATGAGGAGTAGCTGTGTTTGATGACAGGGGGGGCACAGTGCTGAAAAACACTGGAGATGTAACTGTGGCAAAAGATAACGTCACATTAGGAATAATCCCTAAAACGGAAACTGCAAGAACACTTACTTTATCTTCAATATTACTTGTTTGGGGTGAAGGTGAGGTTGGGGAGACAGATGATGACCTTTCTGTAGCTGAAGATGCTGCAGTGA